ATTTCTTTTATTTGTTTTGCTAGTTGGACCAAAGGGACCACCTGGTGAGTATGGACCAAGAGTGATTCTGGATACAGGTATGTGCCCTGCTGGCATAAAATCATGCTGCTTTTCATTGACAAATTTTTTATTTATTTTTTTATTTTCGTACTCCCTCCGTCCCAAAAAGTCCTTCACGTTTCAAAAAAATGGTGTCCCACAATCTCCTTCCCATTTCTATTAAAAACAATTTTTACTTCTTACTTTTTCATACCCTACACATCACATCATATACCTTTTCCTAATAATCTACACATCACATCCTACTCTTACCGATCACATTAAGGGTATTTTTGGAAAGTCAACACAAAATTATTCCTATCTTATTTTGCCATTTTAGTCAAATGTCCCTCTCTTTCTGGGACGTATGTAATGTTGTGGTAAAGAAGCACTTAAAGCAGCTTTGTTTTTTGGGCTGCATTTCAGATGATAAGTTTTTGTCATGCAATAATTTTGGAATTTATTCATGCGGTTGCAGATGATATGTTTACTTGGGATTTGGGCCGCGTGCCTGATTTTCATCGGTTGACCCGTGAGGAATCAAATCGGACCTTTATTTGGGGAGATGCCCAATGAATGTATAATGTAATAGTGTATTGTTTTGATTGCTACTCAGTGTAATTTAAGTTATGAAACACCTATGTATACAAAGTTTGTATCATTGTATGCATGTCCGTTTGGTTATCATGATCATGTATACTCCGTATAAGTTATGATAAAACGATTATTTATCTATGTCAGTGATGAGTTTTGATTGGAATGAACCGATCCATAGTAACCCTATGAAACGGTTAATCCTGTGATGAAGAGTAAAATATTACTAGAGTACTACGGAGTAGTTTTTTACCCCGTGATTCAAACAGGTTGGGGTTACGTGCCCGTGTTTGTAGTCTTTGTTTTTGTGTTTGGCAATAAATTTTGTAGGATGTGGTATGGGTTTTGTACTCGTTTAAGAAATAGTCAATTAATCAAAACATATTGTAATCATGATAGTGTAAGCCAAAGATTATGTTCTATGAATTTCATTTTAAGACTCCCACTTTATTTCAATGCGGTCAAAGACAACAAAAGAATGGTGTATGTCACCTGAAGTTGAATGTAACATTGTGAATGTGAAACACTTTCGTTTCCTGGTAATCAATTTTGGGGTAATATTAGAGTGATGTTTGATGTGAACCTTTTTTTTTTGGAACAAAAGTACCAATATATTCTACTTTCAATAAAATGTTCAGTGCAAGAACAATAATATCACCTAGCTAGTTACAATTTTCTTTTGTAATATATATAACTATGAAGAGTAAACTTAATATATTCAATGGTGATGGAAACCGCTTTTTCGGGGTGCCGACCCGATGAAATCGGTACTGGGTCGTAGGGGTGTTCATCGGGTCAAACCCGGACTGGAGCGGACCGGATCGGACCGGGACCGGACCGGACTGAATAAGAGAGATTTTGTGGACCGAGGACCAGACCGATTTAGATAAGGACCGGACCGGGACCGGACCGAATAAATGTGGTTTTTTATTTTTTAATTTGATTTTGTTTATTTAATTTAAACTATTCAATTGTATAAAAATATTACTACAATTAATTTTTAATGTATAACATACACTAAACATTTTCAAATATTGATGTTTTTAATTTTTTTAAAAACTTAAAAAAATAAATACCCTCTATTCAAATTACATAAAATTTGTGTATAATTTTTATTTTACGAATGGAATATTCTTCTTCTTATTGTTTTTTTACTTTTTATGTAATTTTTTTGTGTTTTCGGCTTATTTTGGAAAAGGAGATATCTTTTACTATTTTTATTCATGAGGTTGTTTACAATATTTTTTATTAGAGTTTTATTAGTGATAAAGTACAAACATAAGTTAGAGTATTGGTACATAAATTTGAAATGCATTAGATTGCTTATACTAAGGTAATGTTTACTTTTTCATACTTTTAATGTTAAAAATATTTAAATATCATTAGAATTGGTATCTTATTTTGAATTATAATATTTATAAAAAAATTATATTGGGTAATAAAATCAAAACATTTGAAAAACCTTTAGTATTAAAGTACAAGTAATTTTAAGTATGAGAAAAAACCTTAAAAAAACTATAGAACAAACATATATAGAAACTAATATTTAAAAAAAAATTAAATGAAACCGGTCCACCTGTCCGGACCGAAACCCGGTGGATTGGACCAGACCGGACCGGAACCCTAATTGTTTTGAAATGTACTGTGAATACCTTTAATGCAAGTAAGATCAGAAATAATTAGCATAGAAAAATAGAACTTAGTTCTATCGAGAAATGCATCACACAAAGTAAACTTCTTGAATTAGTCAAATAAGAAATCCTAATAGATTTATTGACCATATAACTGCATTATAAAATCAACCCAATCTTCATCCATATTGGATACCACTGCCCAAAATGGTATTGAAAATTGACATATATATATGCCAGAAAAAAAGAGAAAAACAAGACATAGCTACTTGAATCGAAACAAATATTGAAATTGTCTATTCAACCCCTCCCATCGCGAAAAAGAACTCTTGTTTTCACTTGACTAAAAGAAATTCACATTTACCGCAATTATTAATTGAGAAATTGATACTTGCAACTCACCAAATTTGAAATTGTGTGCAGATTAATCTAAAAGAGGGTTTTTTAAAATGAAAGTTGACAAACAAGGAGACTTACTCGAATCCAAAATGGAATCTCTTATCAATGTTATGAACAAACCCTAGCCGAAGATGGAGAGCCTCGGATCGGATAATGAATCCCCATTAGATGGAATCTCTTATATTATGTTTTTAGTATAATTTAAATTCATATAAGGAAAACATTAATTTTTTAATCTAAAATACAATAATAGAATGGGGTGGGAAATACGACATTATTAAAATCAAGAGAAAACTACATCTTGAAAAAGAAAAAACAAGCCAAAAAAATGTAGAAAAATAAATTTTGATAACAAATAATATCACCAATAATTAAAATACAACTAACAAAAACGTTATACTTTCATTTATTTGATCTACTTTTTATTGTCCCTAATATTTGAATTGTCTCCAACCATTTCCAACGTAATCATATTGTAAAAATTAGACTCCGTATTTAGTATCTTCAATTAAACTTAACTGCATTGTAGAATATTAATTGTTACTCCCTCCATTCTAATTCTTTCTTCCCAGCTTGACTTTTTCCCATTTTTAAGTTTTGGCTTTGATTTCAAATTTTATCCTCATTAAAAAAGATTTTTTGAATTTTTTTTTGCAATCATTCAAAATATAGAGTTAGAAGATAATTGGTGTAAATACATGAGTGTATTAATGTCATTTGTCATCTTCTTCTTTCTAATGGGAAGATAGATTTAGGACGGATAAAAAAGGGAAGTGGAAAGTATATTTTAGGATAGAGGGAGTATATCAAACTAAGCCCGCCTATATTTTATGGGAAAAAACTAAAATATGAGTAAAATACGGATTATATATCAAAATAAAAAGTTTATGTTTTTTTTGGGAGGAGACTAGACAAGGAGTTAATCATTAAAAATATATCAAAATATGAGTTTTTTCTTTCCTTTAATTATCAAAATATGAGCTAAAATACATATATGGTACCAATCATGACCACAATTTATAAAAAAAGCATTGTAGAATAATTCATATACAATGTTACATTATCATAGTGTAAGCTCTTATTTGGGAGATAAAAACATAGAATATTTATTTTCGTACTTTCTCTATTATTTACCTCTATTTATGGTTATTTTTTCTTTTTATTTTAAAAATAGAAATTAAAATGTGCTTATAATGAAAAACACAACAATATATAATACCAAAAAATATTATAAAATATTCATAAACAATGACACATTATGACAGTGCAAACTTTTATTTCGAAGATAAAAACATACTCCCTCCGTCCCTAAATAAACTTCCATTTTTGACTTTTTGGAAAATTAAGAAAGGGATATTTTGGTGTTGACTTTCCAAAAATACCCTTGATGTAATGTGTAAAAGTAAGATGTGATATGTAGATTATTAATAAAAAGGTATAATGTGATAAATAGAGTATGAAAAAGTAAGGCGTAAAAGAAGATTTTTTAAGGAAAAAGAGAAATTTATTTAAGGACAAAAAAACGAAAGAGAAACTTTATTTAGGGACGAATGGAATATAAAATTTTGATATTTTGTCTATTCTTATTACAATTCAAGATGATTTCTTATATTTCATATTTTGAATGAGAGGATTGACACAAATCAGCTTTGTATGTGGGTATTTTACAGTATTTTATGTTAATATACTTTGTCACTATTCATTTTCGAACGGACTAAATATATAGCAGTACTGTTTATTTTTGGCATTACTACGAGTTTATTCGTTAGGCAAAAGATTGAGATTTCTGAAGCATGTAACAAAATATCCCTTGCCTTACCTGAGCCATTTACAATTAGCACTTTTAGTGCTAATTGTAATTGAAGAGCAAAGCAATAAATATAATGGCCGTTTTTGGAAAATAGCATTTTAGATGGTTTTTGGCATTTTTGACTGACTTTGACTTTTTCGACAAAGCGAACCGCCAAACCAGTGTTTGGCTAATGACTTTTTCACTTGGCATTTTGATCCGAAAATTCAAAACAAAAAATGCCAAGGGGATTAGCATTTAGATTTGGCGGTTAAGAAAAATATTTTTTTTAAAATCATTTTTATTGAAAAATATTTTATAATATATGTAAAAAATAAAAATACAAATAAAAGTTAAAAAATTAAATACAAAAAAAATAAAATTTAAAATTTAAAAAATTAAATGAGAAAATAAAAAGAAAAAATCATTTAAAAAATTTATATTTATAATTTATTATGAATTAAATGAAAATAAAATTTAATACTCCATATAGTTGCAGTTTTTTCTCACGATCAAAATCCTTTAATGCTCCGATGATGGCTCTAAAGATCCGCCATGGAAGGCTAGGGTTAGAGGCAGACTCAGGTCGGAGTTAGAGAGGTGGATCACAGGAGAGGAAGATTATGCCTTACACGAGATCCAAACGACGACGTTTTGCAATATACCCAAAATGTTCAAAACGACATCGTTTCAATTAATTTTTTTAAAAACCCAATGGTGTGAGCTAACTTTGCTTGGCATAACTATATGAAAATGAGTAAAACAGACTATTAGAATTAGATCACGTGAATAATAAAGATGAAAAATTGAACGCATGTAATAATAAAGTTAAAGATACTACAAAAGTAGATCAACAAAGAACAGTTTTGACTGAGGAGATTAGATAAAGTTTCGAGTGCAATGACAGTAGTTCATGTGTCATTCGTACTAGCATAACAAACAAAAAACCTGTTTACTTCGTTCCATGCGGCAGATTCAGGAATGGGCATAACATTCAGATGATACTCTTGACGAGTAGTTGGGGGAAATTATGTTATTCTTCCCATTTTTCTTCTTCTTCCATTTTTCTTCTTCTTCCCGTTGCTTTTTTCCGCTCCTCCCTTGACCCTACTTATGTGGGATTCTATGTTGTTGTTGTTGTTGTTGCTGCATTTTTTCCCTCCGCTCATTTCACTTGCCTTGTATTCCTTCCTCGGCTCTTGCATCTCAAGTTTCATCTGATCATAGTATTTGTCAAAGTGTCTTCCAATGCAAAGACCATCACTCACTTGCTTCACAGTCATAAAAACATCAAACCTGGAGTCAGCTTTACCCTACACCAAACACAATAATTAAGGAAAAATACACAAAGTAAGTAATTAAATTCCAAACTAACTGAATACATAAATTTGGATGACCAATAACATTATGAAAGTAATTCTGATTATTAAAAAAAAACAAACGAAAACCTTATTTCGGATGGATGCACAAATGCCAACCGGGATGCTTTCCCCAGTGCAATGGCCATCACTATCCAATCGAGCAACTTTGAACTCAACAGCCTTCTTATCCTCTGGGTAAATGGGCTTCTTGCTGAAGATACATGTCATTTGCCCTGCTCCCTGACCTCCTTCTTGGTTTTGCATCTATGATCTTAACTTCAACCAACCTCAAGGATAAGTACATATTCACAAAAAAAAACCCAATAATAAATCATAATAAATAATGGGTCTATGATAATCTTAATGCAAAACAACGGAGCTAAAGAAATGTGTAGGAACTTATGTTGGAGAGACATTAGCAAACGCTCTCATGAACTAATTTGAAGAGACAGGAGCTGTAGAGAGACAACCATACAAAATATAGGGTGATGCATTACGAAAAAAGAAAAACATGCGGTATGAACATGTTAAAAGAGAGTTATTAAGACTCAACAATCTAGCATGACCAAACACACTTACAAAGCCCCATATGAGAATATAACAAAAAAAAATAAACCAGAAAATCGAATTAAATATACGCCACTGCATAAAAATGGGATTAGAATAATCAAAAACAATTATGACATCAAGCATACACGTTCTTTGTTTCTTTTCCCATACACATTAAATAAATAAATACTGGGTAGTTTGTTAGTACTCTGTGTTATTATTAAAAACAAAGATAGAAGTTTAGGCGTAAAAGTTTGGAGTAGTTTTTTAAATAAACAAACAAAATTAACTATTCACGATCATAAATAAATAAAAACAACGTGAACTCAACAGATCCTAAAATAAAAACAAAGCACAGAGATTTCGACATGAAATCAAAGGATTAAATCATAAGAACAGAAGGTTGAGTAGGCCTAAATCCGCCATCTTGAAGCAAAACACAAAGGTGGAAACGGATACATATAAATTGAGACAGAGTTGTAGAACGAATCTAAATCGGATGCAATACATAAACAAAGATCGGATCGGGGGAGGCAATGATTTGTACCAACAAGAGCGGCGGCTTTCTGAAAACCCTATCACAGCTACGATTTCCAAACCAAAAACAAAACAAAATCCGAGAAAGATGGGAAATAAATCGCTGCCTCTCCCCACTAGAATGTCCTGTTGTTGTTTGGGCCTGTCCAATTTGAACATGGGCCAATGTTTTTCTACCACTCCATTATTGTTAGTCTCTCCCTTCCAATATTATCACTTCTTATTTGAATTGTTTCAAAACTTTCTTTCTCTTTTCTTTTTTACACTATACTAGGATTTTGGAAGGAAAAAATATACTCCCTCCGTCCCGAAATATATTATAATATTCCCTCATATTTTTGTCCCAAAAATAATTAGAAAGTCAATAACTTTATAGTGAATTGACTCTTTTACCCTTCCTTTTCATTTCTGCCAGCTACTATTCACATTATTCATCCATGTGGGTGGGTGGGAAGGATATTTGGGGGATTTGGGGGTAATTTGGGGGAAAAAATTTTGATTTGACTCTTACTTAATTTCAACTAAAAATGAATATTGTAATCTAAAGTGGGACGGAAAAAATATTATAACTTCACTATTTAATATCTTCCTTTATTATGAATAGGGATGTCAACGGGTCGGATATTATTATATCCGAACCCGACCCGGCTTTAAAAATCGAAACCCGAACCCGACCCAAAACCCTACATTTTAAGCCAAAAACCCGACCCGACCCGAACCCGGCATTTCAACCCAAAACCCGAACCCGACTTTTAACCAATAATCAATTCGACGTACTCCAATAATTTTAAAAGGATTAAATCTATTTTTTTGTGTCTCTTTTTTGTGTCTCATTTTTTATTAAGAATTATAAAAAATGATTAAAAAAACCATACTTGATTTAGTAGAACTCTGTCAAGAGATTATACGAAGTGCTAATTATATCCATAAATATTAAATATTTGGGTTTGAGTCGTGTCGGGTGCGGGTTCGGGTCGGATCATGTAAAATTATAAACCCACACCCGACCCGACACGATGTCGGGTTCGGGTGAAAAATTTCGGGTCGGGTTCGGATTATTTTATTCTCGGTTCGGGTTCGGATATTTTAGTGCTCGGTCGGGTCGGTTAAGCTCGGATTCGGGTTGAATTGCAATCCCTAATTATGAACTTGAATTACATGAACTTATCTCTCTCTCTCTCTCACGTAAGTGGTCAAACGAAGTGTTTGTTAATTCTGTAAATCAACTTCAATGTGACATTTTTAAATTAATCTATGAAAATATATGCAATGCATTCTTTAACACTATAGACATTAAAATTAATATCTAACAAGCAATTTAGAATTTAATATTTAGAAATGAAAATTTTTATATATAAATTAATATAACTTTACTACGGAGTATTTAATATCCTCCTTTAGAATATTCCATGACTAAAACCAAAAGTAGAGATGAGATCTTTTATCTTAAATTTTTCTTGTGTTTGAAGTATTCATAGCTTTCCTCATTAACAATAATAGAATAGGCAATAATACTGATGCAAAACTGGACGTAACTAATAAAATGACTAGAAAAATTCAAATGAATTAGCATAACAACCTACCAACACATTCAGCCATAGTTTTGATTTTTTTTCAAATCTAACTTCCAGATACATATTTAAGAGATGCATTTTTTGATAAATGAATTATTATCGAAGAGTCTTGCTTTTGATAAATGCGTTATTATTGCCTTTAAAAATGTATAATCATAAATTTACGTAATTTTTCATCTTCTTATTTTATCATTAATAATTTTTTCCTAAATGACGAAAGTGATAAGATTTATCCTTTTAAAATTCTTGAAAAACCAAATATATTAAAGAATTAATGTCGAATAAAAAATTTCTTGCATTCTATAAAAAAATTATGAGTAATTTTATTTATTAAGACTTCTTTCATTTTCATATAGCTTTCACCTTTCACAAATTACGGAGTAGATAATAGGACTTAGGAGAACAATATTCTCATGTTTCTCTATTTTATTTTCATTCATTATTTTAAGTCATTTATCTTTTCTTACATTCCAACCAAGATGAAGCTTGAAGCTACCAACAATATCAAACAAGGACAACCTTGTAAACAAAGCAAACCACCGTTTGAAACAATTTTAAATTTCTAACTATATCAACTTTTACTGTATGTTTGAGAACATGGATTTGAATTTCAAATCTGGATTTGGTTTAAATTCCACGTTGAGAAACTTTAAAAATTTGATTTTTGGATTTAAGTCAAATTCTTCACATTCATAACAAAGCTTAATTTGAAATCCATACACATCTCTTGTCATTTGAAATTCAATAATTTAAATTTTGAAATTAAAATGTCTGAATTGAAATGAAATGCTAGTTGCCAAATACTACCTTAATGGATTTAGTTTCCCTCGCATATACATTTGGTATTTCTCATCTAGGGTGATTTTAATAAATTTAGGTAACTATAATTGATTAAGTTACCGAGTATTTAAAAAGTTTATTTAGTGAAGTCCGCTCATTTTTTTCGTACACTCTCACTTTGATTTTGGTATTCCATTTTTGAAATATTTGTGTGCTATTTTTTGAATCAAATTAGATTAATTTTAATCTTTAATTATCTTTCATTTGTATTTTTAACAAGAAAAATCTAAATTTTTTTTACTCCGTAATTCAAAGGACATAAACATTACTGAATCCAAGACGACGTCGTATCAGAGTAGATAGACCGAACGCATATACCCAACGCCGTTCCAGAAACGACCGTACTCTGCACCGATGGCTGGCCTGAATTGCTACCTTTCCGTCACCGCCACAGCCACACCCATATCTCAACGCTCATCTTCATCCGACCAACCGCCGGAGCAAAAGCAGCTCAAATTGAAACTGCCGAAGAATAAGCCGGCGAAACTATCCGCTGTGGTGGCCCCGGCGGAGTACGGCGGCGCACCACCCACCACCAATCCCAGAAATTACTCGGGCGTCGATGATGACCCTCTCACCTCTGATGATTATATATGGAACAGAAATTTCGTGGGCCGCATGAAGATGTTGATCCACAGATCCAGGATCCTGCTGAATATGGATCCGGTTTTCCTTCTGATCCTTCAAAGGTCTGAACTTTTTTATTTATTTGAAAGTAGTTATATGGGAAATTGGTAATATTAATGTTGAATAAGTCTTTGAACAAGTCAGTATTTTTAGTAGTATTATTGAATAAGTCAGTATCTCTTTAGTAAACTATTTTGTCCTATTCTTAAGGAAGTAGCTGGCCACATTCTGTGGATTTCCTTATTTCTAGTAAATCAGTTTGTATCCACTTTCTTTGTTTTCACAGCCTATAAATTGGCTTTCCTATGGAATAATATATTATCAAGTTCTTCTCTGATTCCTCTGTTGATTTCCTGAGTTCTCCAATTTATATTAGTTTCATATATTTCTTCTTATTAAGGTTGCTCACAACCTGTTTGATAAAAGTTCCCAAAGAAACCCAGTCTACATTTGGTATCCGAGCCTCATAAATTCACTGCAGCAGCAATATCAATTGATCCATGGCATCTGAAGGCTTTGTTCAACCTTCTATTCCCCGCTTTGATGGTCACTACGATCATTGGAGCATGTTGATGGAAAACTTTCTCCGGTCCAAAGAGCTTTGGGCTGTGGTGGAGACTGGAGCAGCAACTCCCACCGCTGAGATGCCGGCAGACCAGAGGACGAGGTTGGAAGCTTTAAAACTGAAGGATCTTAAAGCTAAAAACTACCTCTTTCAATCAATCGAACGGGCTATTTTGGAGACCATTCCTTGCAAGGAAACCTCCAAAGATATTTGGGAATCCATGAAGAAGAAATGTCAAGGAAATGCAAAGACAAGGAAGCTGCAGCTTCAAACTCTTCGTTCGGAGTATGAATTACTTCGA